TAAAAAGTTAGCTGGAGGTCCCTTTATGACCGACCGCAAGCACATTTTCCTGCCCAAAACAGTTCCATAGATTTGGGCTGTGAGGTCGGCCTATTTCAGGCTGAAAAAACGACTAAGTCCCATCGCCGAATGGGACTTAGTCTCTGCAGCTGAAATAAGGCTGAAAAAAACGGCTGAAAAAAAGACTAAGTCCCATCGCCGAATGGGACTTAGTCTCTGCAGCTGAAATAATTTCCCATTTACTGAACCAAGTGGGAAATAGCAAGGCAGGCACAAAGGGTTTGCACCAGGTCTGGGGACACAGGGGACACCGTCTTAAAGGGGCCGTGTCCCCAACAAGTCTGGGGACACGGCCTTAAAGGGGCAGTGTCCCAATCTTCCTGATGTCCCAAAAAAGGTGTTTAAAGGGCCAGCACCAGTCACATAAAGAGTCCATAAGCCCCAATATGCCCACCGACAGTCTTAAAGGGCCATACACACCAAATAAAAGTGCATACATTTTCACAATCTCCCAGGGGCCATAGTCATGCGGGAGGAGGCTGGCAAAGTAGGCTTCTCCACAACCCAGGGAAGCAGGGCAATTTGCCATTTAAAGGGCCCGTTACAAATAGCAGTTTGTAACAAGGTGTCAATCCATATCTGCCAAGTGACCCGATGTAGGGGGACCAGTCCCTATTCTGTTCTGTGTCAGTGTGTATCAGGGAACCTTAGGACAGGTGTCAATCCATATCTGCCAAGTGACCCATGTAGGGGGAACAGTCCCTATTCTGCTCTGTGTCAGTGTGTATCAGGGATCCTTAGGACAGGTGTCAATCCATATCTGCCAAGTGACCCCATGTAGGGGGACCAGTCTCTATTCTGCTCTGTGTCCGTGTGCATCAGGGGCTCTGAGGACAGGTGTCAATCCATATGTCAAGGTGTCAATATATCATATGTCAGGTGTCAATATGTCATATGTCAGGTGTCAATCCATATTGATTGTGATTTAGGAATGTTAGGTGATTTCTGCCCTTTATGGATTAAAACCAGACTCTGTATCAACTGTGTAATTTTCCATGGGAGTTTTGCCATGGATCCCCCTCCGGCATGCCACAGTCCAGGTGTTAGTCCCCTTGAAACAACTTTTCCATCCCTATTGTGGCCAGAAAGAGTCCCTGTGTGTTTTAAAATTCGCCTCCCCATTGAAGTCAATGGCGTTTCGGGCGGTTCGCGAACATTTGCGGAAGTTCGCGTTCGCCGTTCGCGAACCGAAAATTTCGGGTTCGCGACATCACTAATAATAGGCCAAGTCAACTGGTATGTCAAACAATACAATAGGGAAGATTTATCAAGGTATTCTATTCTGGAAAGTGGTGCAAACATATAAAAAGCAAGGAGCCACTAATGGAATATGCCTGTTGGTTCCACTTTTTCCATGGTCATTTCCCTATCAGTACTATAAACAACATTTTAGAAAAGAGCACTTTTATTAATCCTCCTTAATGTTTAATTCCTGTTTAAAGAACGTTTCCACATTAATTTTTGTGTTTAATGTTCATTTAATGTTTTTTATGATTTGGTACATATTGATATACCAATGAAACATGTCAAATGCTTTTTTGATATGGTTAAAAGTAACATATTTAGGATTGCAACAAAATATCAAAAAACATAATATCCTTTTTTAATTAACATTTACAAATTCAACACGTGACACAAATCACAAATATGTTGAGATATGTTGAGATATTCTCTTGGATTACATTGTGATTGCTAATTATTTAGTACTAGTTTTGCCTTGGTAAATCTCCTTATGTTCTCATCTGATCCTAAACGCCTAGCAAACCAGCCCTGTCATTGTAGGGCCAATGGTTAAATAACTGTGCAATAACCAATAACCAATAACCCCGTTCACCCAAGTAGCTTCCAAAGCCAGAGAATTACAAAGGGAGTCTTTTTAGTCAAAAAGCTGCATGGCTAAAATAAGCGCTTCCTAGAACACAGTAGCATTAACAGCCTTATTGGCATTGTTGGATTCTTTTATTATTTGTTTAATTCCGTTATTATCAATAAATCATTAAAGTGGGGGTTGCTCTACCCACGCTGCAAATACTGAGCAAATCCGTTGCTCAAAAATTGTGAGTATATTTTCAGTTCTCTCCACATATAATATTACACAGAGAGCACCATATTGTGTCTCCTTTTTCTAGTATGTTAACACTGGTGGGGTACAAGTTAATAAACTATACCCCTGGGTATAGTACCTTATAGCTGAAATGGGAGCTTTAATACAAAGCTTTACACTTGTGAGTGTCAATTTTATATTATTTGGCACTTTATGTACTCCATAGTTATAATATTGCACTAATGGATTTTACTCTGTCATTTCATGTTCTACAAGATTAACTGTGCCTTCACCTATATCCAATAGAGGGAATATCACCGCTACATGATGTATTATTGGAGCTTGTACTTAAGCATTTAAGCACTTTTTTGTCATCAACCAAGTACACTAAATACTACACTATTAGTATTCTTCTTTCTCTCTCTTCTATCCACATATATACTCAAAGAGGATGTAATAGACTGCAAATGAACTTGGGTCATTCCAAGAATTCCTGGACTTTATTTTATTCCTTCTTTTCATTTTTTATTTTAATTTATTTAATTGTATATATTTTACAGTATCTTCTTTTTTTATTAAGTGTATCTTTTTTTTTATTATGTGATTTGTTTTATTAGTGTTTGTTATATTGGCACAACCTATATACAAGGAGATGTAATACAAGGGAATGTTATATTTGTTATATTAATATTGTTATATTTTCCCTGTTCACTAATTCATTTTTATTCCATGTTCACTAATACATTTTACTGATTATACATATACAGACTGGTCAAGCACGTAAATAATTAAATATATATATATATATAAATATATATATATATGAAAATTGGCATCGTAGGCAGTGTGACTTTACAGAGATAGATAAATAGTTGCTTATAACAAAAGCATAAGCACTTAGTTTAAAACTTCTATTCATGCAAATGATGAGACTGTTAGAACTTTGCGATACATGATAGACAAATAAACTATAGCAGGTTATTCAAATATCATGAAACATTGACTCTCAAGGGAAATAACTCAGACTAATATGATACATTTCCATTATCTTTTTTTCTCTTTTGAGCAAGATGTATTTTGAAAAACCAACACTTTCTGGTGGAAAATATAATGTTCTTTATGACAGCTTCAGTCTTTCATCAACATATATATAATGTGAATTCATCTCTTTCAGAGATCCGACAATAAGAGCACAATGGAGCTAAAGGAATTCTTCAAATCAAAGGTATTGATGGCCTGTCTGCTGGTTTGGGAACATCTAGGGGGGCTACCAATTTAATACAGACCGCATGAATATTGGACAAAGATTTTGTCTGTATTTAGCTGTATCCTGTGAGAAATCAGCCCAATACATTTTCAAATTTCGTTCCTGAGTAAAATTCAGGTGAGTCTGTATAACTTATATGTACTTTAAACATCTAAAAGCGATTCTAGAATTTACACTTAAAATACAAAACAAAATTATTATTTATCAGTACCTGTCAAGGAAAAGGAGATTATCCTATTACCAGAACACAGTGAGGTGAGGCAACACAGAAAACAAAATTCAGTGTTTAAAGGGGAACCAACATTTCTTGGTATTTTAAACCATTGAAAACTTTTTTTGAAAATCACCTATAACTTGTGTTAACCCTTTTAATGAGATGTATTTAAAAAAAATAAAATTAAAGTTACTCCAACCGCCATGATCACTTCAGTCATTTAAAGTAGTCATGGTGGTAGGAGTCTAGATGGGAAGTTATTCTGCTTGAAACCCTACAGAGATATTAGCACTTTTGTGCTGGGGCCAAGTTACATCCCCGGCACACGTGACTTTGGCAGCCTGGAACGTTGTGATATATAAATAATGAAATTAAATGAAATTAAATATATTAATGGACATTATAACAGACCATATTGATATTGAATAATATTAAAAAGAAACGCCAAGGTTGAAGAAAGAGAACAACTACAACTAAACAAGTTAATTATAGAATCAGAACCAATGAGAGATATGATAATGGTGTTACTGGAAGCCTACAATATAATAATGGGATCAAGGTCAATTTTTTAGATGACAGAATAGACAAACTAAAACAAAAATATCTGTACTAGAATAACTTTAGCAAGGTTCTACAATGTAAAGTTGAAGTGATTTTGGTGAAGTAAGACTTTCCATAATAAGCTGTTTAGAATTTCTAATTTAAAAAAAGAGGAGCAAGCACACACCATTGTTGCTCCAGCAACAGTGAACATGTGTTTGAAAGGCATATCAATGTGTCCTTTGTCCTTACATGTTGCAGTTGTATGACATTTTATCATGCATGTAGGTACTATAGAAATACCATGAATCAATATGATCTGTGAGAAAGCAGACAGCATGCAAATGTAATAGGAGATGCAAGATGGTAGACGCAGCATTGGTAAATGGTGAAACCCTTGTGATCACTTGATAGCAATACTTTATAGTCTAAACTAAAAATCCGGACATGTCAAAAAGAAAAAAACCTTACAAATTCCTGTGCTGCAATGCAAACAGAGATGCAATACTGCGTAAATATATTGCCTAGCCTAATGGCTGTACAATATCAGGCATTTTTTCCAATGCCAGTTCTGAGTTGGCAAAATTAAATTAATACATAAATGGATTCAAAATTACTTTATATAGCAATGGATTGTTATATTTTTCCATTTGCTATCTTGTATGAATGAAAATGGTGAACGGAGTCAATTTAGGTTAAAGCAAGGTTTGTTTGTTTTTTCAAAATATATAAGGGAAAAAGTCATTGGGCAATTGATGACCCACTCACCCCACTTACAGCAATGAACAAATACAAGTAGGAATCTGCACTCTTATCTGGTCCTGGTGCATCCAGACCTGGGGCTAACCACACTCCATAGGTAAAACAATACACGTAGTCCAGGCAATCAGGATCACTTATGCAGCATTTTTATTAAACAGGAATAAAACTATTGCATATGTGATCCTAAGTGCCTGGACTACATTTATTGCAATTATCACAACAAAAGTTTACATTTATAAATCAAACATTTTACTAATAAAATTAAGAATCTATTGAACACAAGAGTAGTTAGCAAATTAACACTTACAATGCCAAACTAGCGCTCAGTATTTCTGTAAAAGCTATGTTTTAACAAATTAGACAGGCTGCAATTTTGTGATGGATATGATGAAAGGGGCCCACGACAGTCAATTCCTTCCTTAAATATGGCGTGAGTATAGGTTCTCGTCGAAGAGGTGAAACTCACTGGTAATACAACTCTAGATTCATTCCATTATTAATTTCAGAGTGACATAATGTTACATGGCCTTTAAAGATGTTCTATCATTTCTTTATATAATCCTGTCATATTGGATACCTGTTTGGGCTGTGATTAGCTTCTTGAGATCTCTAATTGTGTCACACTTTCTTCCCCAAATGAGACAAATACCTCAATTATTATATATTCTGCTGGCCACACAATCCATCCAACACTCATGGCTGTTAATAATGCCGTTAAGCTTGGAAAAATTAAAGTAAGAGTCAGCAGGCAATTGATCACATACTCAGAAGAACAAAACTTTCCAATACATCCAGTCTGTAGCATCACTGACCATCCATCAGTGAGGAGAAAAGTAGAAGGCACCACAAGACTTAGTCAGGCTGGGTGAAACCACTAACCTAAAAGGTAATTTAAATGATTAATTTATTTTTAGGTGGTTGAACAAGGGGATGACCTGCCCCAAACTGGCATTACTGTCGCCCAAAGTTTCTGTCACATCCCTAAATGGAATAAGAACTAACTCTAACTGCAATATTATTGTCCAATCCTCATGCCCCAGTGGGGATTCTGTGCCAATGTGGTGTGATTGCCCAGTGGATTGCCTTCTAAAATTCTTTCTAGCATATTTAAAGTGGAGTTTCACTGTGTGCTGACATCCTTGCATAGATGGTGTGTTGGAAGGCCTGTTTTCTCTTGTTCCTGCCTCAAACATTGGTTAATCCTCACACTAACACACAGGAAATTCCTGGCAATCCACTTGCAATGCTCAAGTATGGTTTGTACATTTTTTTGGCTTTGTGAATTGAAGCCCTCACTACAAGATGCAGGATGTATGCAGAACCGCACACAACTACAAAGGAACCTTCTCTCAGAGTTTTTACAATGTTAGCAGCTCTGCCAGTGACAACATATTCAACATGCACATTGGTGCCAACTGCTCTCCCAATCAATTTGCTACAATTGGTTTGATTGCATGAACATTGTATTCCAAAGAGTGCTTATTGTCCATCACTTGAGCATGTATCAGAAGAGATTTACAGCACTGCTACCCTGCAAATTCACTCCCAGCCTTCTATGCTACTAAGGTTGGACGTCCTCCTATACCACCACCAGTACCACTACTCAGGGACTTTGGGCTGCCCCCAGTGTGCCGTGAAGAAAATAAAGGCATGCTGGCCAGTAGGAGCACTTAATAAATTTGGGCAATTAGCCTGGTGATATTGTTAGCCTGCTGTTTTACATAGACCTGGGATGATGACGATTTTGAATGTCTATTTGCAACCTGCCACTATCGACTGCTGGCACTATCCTCAACACCCCCCTGCTCTACCAAGTATTGGAGAAAGAACTGCTGCTGCTGCTCCCTCTTTAAAAAAAAGAAAAAAGGCCGGTCATTGTAGTGCTTTCACCCTGCCTGTTTGTGTTAAAAAAAATGGAAAGCTGCTTGGTGGATTTACTGCTACTGTAACATTGTTTTTGACTACACTGCATACTTCCACATGTGTACAGCACACAGTTAAAGAAAAAGAATACTTTGCAAACTTATTCTTCATCTTCAATGATGTCGTACCACTAATACAGACACACAGTGCAGGTAGGGTTCATGTATGCATTAAACTACAAGCACACACTGTATTGCAATTTGCTAAGCAAAAATAACAGTGTAAAAAAAACAACAAAAAAACAAAGCCTAATCAGCTTCTGCTAACTTCATCTGCAGAGGTAGCAGGCACAGTCACACCACAAGAGTCAGCTAGGCAAGTAAAAATCATTATAATGAAAGGCAAATGAAAACATTTCAACTTCTCAACTGATCCTTCTAGCTCATCATAATCATAATTAGTCAAGTAGCACCTGGGCCAGGGTTAAAAGTGCTAGGTTTGCAGTGGTGAAGAAAACAGAACTATCATCACTGGATTCATCACTGACACCACCACCAAGACTAGATATTGAGGACACTACTTTGGCTCTCTGCTCTACTTCTTCAATACAGCATTGCTCTGATGACTGAGGAAGAAGTGTTCAGACTCTCAGGAGCTATGGTACCTATGGTGCTTATGGTGAACTGGGGAACATGACCCCTTCACCTATCACTACCCTTCCTCAATTTGTTCTTGAAACATAACATTGCTGATGTACAATACATTTGGGATAGGAATGATTGTGTATTGTGTAAATTAATACAACTATAGATATAGCAGTAACCTAAACCTAGTCTTACACAATGATTTATGACATAGACTTTCTCCAACTCCAACAAAGGCACATCAATGGTAAACACACAATCACCGATGGCCAGTCTCCCTCAATAACTACATTCAAATTGCCTTCAAAAATCTTGCTTTGCAGAATAGATAGTTTTGCTGTTCCTCCTTTTTCCCTCTTTTGCTCAGTTGTCACTTAATCTGTGAATAAAATCAACCTTTAGTGGCTGTCTTTTCACTATTATTTATCATTTTGTCCACCTCTTATTTGGACAGGAGATACAGCTCACATGATTGGACAGGAATTACAGCTTACATGATTGGGCAGACCTCTTGTCCATCATGGCAAACTAAGCAGCTTAATTGATCCAACCAAGAAAAAGAAAAAAGGGAAAAAAAAAGCTTTTTCCCCATCTCACCCCCTTTTTTTCATGTGTCAGGAACAAAACTCCGAATTGTGAATTAAACCATGCTTTACACAAGTTGTTTTATGATCCTGCCATATGGAGATTTAGAGGTTAAAATCTTGGACTATAACCAAATTGGTCCAAATTCAGATGAGTAGCCATTTGTGATGAACCAAATCTACAAGACTAGCTTAAGCATTGAGCAGGGGAAAATTGCTAGCAAATTTTACAGGACAGAATATAATTACAATTAATAGTGGAGATGGTAGCTAATATCTTTAGGTTAATGAAGTATGCTGGTCACAAGTATAAAGGAAACTACTTCCCCATAATAACTTCATTTTAATTAATTAGTAATGTTTGCAGGAGTGCCTTGGTGCCATCTGACTTTCAGGGGCGAAACCATTTTTAAATAGTATAACTCTAATTTCAAATATGTCAAAACTGCCTCTGTCAGTTCTGCTCTCACTATAATGCCGTAAAGGAAGGATTACCATGGATTGGTAGCTACTGATAGAACTCCAGCTCACATAACTACTAAATTAATCCCAATACAACACTCTGTTAACTATGAAAATGAATCTATGCATTTAAATACTTTTTTGAAGTGGAAGTCATCACCCACACATTTTGTAGGCGACAGGGTAAGAATGTAGATGAATACCTGGGTCTCATTGCTATATAAGAAAGTATATCTAATTAATCAGTGTTTAGCAATATTATAATTTCAAATCTAAAAGGCAAAACACAAAATTTTTATCATTTTCTTTCTAGCTCATAACATTTTCTATAGCAGAAGTTTTGGAATCTATATCTCTTTACAGTGATTTTGAAGAGAAAGAAAACTGTAGGAATAAAGAGTCAAATTCAGAATGGAAGGGGATGTGTTTTGATATATGTATAATCTAGATGATTATCAGTCAACAAATGTCTGCAGCTCCCAGTAGGGATGCTATATTGCCACTTTCATGAAGGATGCTTATTAGGCTCTGGCAAGACATTTTCTTCTACTTTTCCATATCAATATAATGAATGGGTGGGAATTACATTGAATATCTGGCAATTTCCAGTCATGCATAACAAAATGAGCCCCTTGTATGTTAATGTTTACATGTAAAATCACTAAGTGATATAATATGAACACAGGGCCACATGCTATTTACCATCTGCTTTGCTCATATTTCCCCTCCAGCTACCTCTTTTGAAGACAAAGTATTTTAGTCAAGAAATATCCTTCAAACAAATGGAATCATCCAAAAGTCAATGTAACTATGTAACTATGTAACTATGCTCTGTTCCATATTATGCAAGATCACCCAAATAGAGGAATTCCCAAAAACGAACAAACTGATGTATCCTAATAACACAATAATTAACCCTCCCTGTCTCAGGATAAAGAGTCTAGGCTCACTAACATCACAAGTTCTTGGAAGGTAGCATAAATAATAATAATAATAATAATAATAATAATAATAAACTATTAAAATGATTAATTATGATGTACTTCACACTCCCAACATATTTCTTCTAGACATTGTCCTGTTTTATTTATCTGTGTGGCCAAATGTTTGTGTCACTGCTTTTTTAAGTAGGTATTTTTGCAGTTATGATTTCTATTGATTTACTACTAAGTTTGCAGCACATGTAAAATAAATACATATAATACATATAATATTAGCAGTATGTAGCAATGTGTTTTATGGAAAGTTTTTTTCATTCTGGCGTATGGCATTCGGTTTTGCATATGATTGTGGAAGTTTGAGCATTCAACCACTTTTTAGGGTATATCAAATATCATTAGTTACAGGATTAGCTTTTCCGTTGGCTACATATTTGTTTGTCATTCTGTATTATTTTGTTTAGTTAAAGGAACCCTATAGTCACCAAAACATCTTTAGCTTAATTAAGCAGTTTATGTGCATAGATCATGTCCCTGCAATCTCACTGCTCAATTCTCTTCCATTTAGGAGTTAAATTGCTTTTGTTTCGGTCTGGAGACCACCAACACTGTTTTCCGTTATTAGCCTTTATAACAGGATTTATTGTCTGCTTCTAATTTAATATGATGTTAAATGGACTGCACAACAGTTAAAAAAATATAGTTGA